CCCCCCCCCCCCCCCCCCCTGCCCGCAGAAGAGGATCCGAGGCGGCCCAGCCGCGTTTTCACAGTTGCAGTCGTAGCCGTCAATGAGGTCCAAACAGATGCCCAGGGCACCACAACCGTGCCTCTGAGGGAGAGGCCGGGAGATGGGCTGAGACTCTCAGGATGGCGGCAGGGCTCGTACTCGCCTCAGCTTGGCGCAGTCATCCACGTTCTTGCAGTGGAGCTCCTGCGATGTGTCGTGGGATAATGCCATATGCCTTGCACGAAGAAGCGCGCTCTCCGATCTCTCCTCCAGCCAGACGAGGCTCGGCGGGCAGGTCAAGGAGCGGCTCGGGCCTCAGAGTGTCAGCGCGCGCGGCAGTGCGGCAGGCAGCTGCTGCAAAAAGTCGCAGCGGCGCGCCTCCGTTGGGCCCCGAGACCTGGCGGCAAGAAGAAAAATAGAAAAGCGGCTTCTGCAGAAAAAAAAGCGTCCCTCGGCTCGGCGCCTCGAAGCCCGGGGCGCAGTAGAGCGTGTAGTTCCCCCTAACGAGCCTCGAGCCCTGCAAGCGGAGGGGAAGCTCCCGACATGATCTGCGGATGCCGTGGCGGCCCTGCCCTGGACCCATGGGCAGCGGCCTTCCACATGCCGTTGCTGTCGTACCTCTCGGGACCTCATCCGCGCGCAAGGCGAGCACAGCACAGGGCGGCGTGGACTCTTCTCGGGCCCTGGGCATTGCTTGCTGGCGGCCCAGGGAGCCTCCTGCGAGTGCGCCCCACTTCCCAGCAACGGGCGGATGTTTTTTTGTCCTGCGCCGCAGAGAGCGCCGAGAGCGCGAAGAGGGAGCCCAGGAACAGGGCCAACCTGTGTCACTTCGCGCCCAAGCGCGCCCAAGCGCGCCCGTGCTCGCACCCCCCCCCCCCCCCCCCCGCCCCTTGCCCCTGTCGCCTGAGCCGCGGCATCTCGCCGGCCACTCCATGTGCGCGCGCACGCGGCCGCTTCTTTTCTAACGTGGTGTCACAGCGCGTCTTTTCTAATGTAAAGGAACTACTTCTGTGTTGTTCGCATGATGTTGCAAACCCACAGCATCTGCAGGTCGCGTTTGCAGCAGATTGGGCACGAGATGCTTGATGCAGAAAAGCCTGCTTTCAAGGTGACATTGGACAACCTGGTCAGACAGGCTCTTGGGGATGCTTTCGTGATGAAGTCTCAGACACAGGCTGAGTTGCCGATCATAAAGTCACACCATTGGGCCATTTCGTCGTGACATAGGGGAACTTGTGGCAGAGACACGACATGCTGTCTTGGCTCTTGGACGCACTTGAGAGGTCTGCCTGTGCTGATCGTCTTTGGTGAGATACATCTGTGCCTCATCTGTGGAGAGCTCTCGCAGCTCGCACTTGGGAGTCTCACACGGCAACTCAAGGTTTGGGTCACACCGTGCTACGAGGACTGGAGTTCTTGCTGCCCAGGTCGGTGTTTGATCAAGAGGCTCCATCTTTTTACGGCACTTCCTGGCTTCCAGGTCTGTTGCCTGTCTGAATCTCTTGGTCCCAAGCTTCGTACTGGGGATCTACTCCTTCTGCTTCCACCGGGTCCACTGCGGAACCAAACCAAGGCTCCGCCAGCACCTCTTCGCACCTCACGGGCCCTTTGCCGGCTCGCCGGCGTCGGGCGTTGAGCCGTCATTTTGTCTCACCTGAATGCATTTGCCCGCCCCCAAAGCCTTGACTAAAAACTCCTCATGGCCCATGGCTACAGTAACCATTCTATTACTTGCAATTTCAGGACTACCCACTTCACCTCGGCAATGCTCTGCTCCTTCCTCTCGGTGCTCTCGGCCGACTCCTCCTGGGGCTCCGCCAGCTCTTCCTCCCCGGCCAACGCCTTCGCGGCGCTTTTGGAGCGATGCTCCGCGCAGATGTCCTGGGCCGAGCGACCCGAGGCGTCCCTGGCGGTCACGTCCGCCGAGTGGCGCAAGAGCAGACGCACCAGCCTCCCCAAAACAAGTCACAAAGAGTCAACACATGGATCCCCGAGCAGAGCTCGCGTAAACGCACCTTGCGCGAAACTCCAGCGGGGCCTGCCCGCATCCGAGCGGCAGGCGAGCAGCAGGGGCGTCAGACCCTCGAAGGCCCGGCTCTCCAAGTCCGCGCGCTGCCTCGTCTCGACGAAAAACAGACAAAGCGGGCTTTCAGACGTTCTCAGACATCGCCCTGCGTGGCCCCGATGGCCCCCGTGCCTGATCAGGTAGCTGGCCGCTTCCGTCTGCTCCGTCAGGATGGCAGCGTGCAGCGGTCGGCAGCCATCCGAGGGGTCCTGGGCCTCCAAATCCTCACCTTCTCTCCTTAAGCGGCGGGAGAGAGCGAGAGAGAGAGAGAGAGAGATACCCACACACACACACACACACACACGCACGCACGTGCTTTCATCGGCGGCGGACTTCTGGATTCAGCGATGCTCTGTGTTCGGTAACCCGGGGTCCGGTGCAATCCGGGGTCAAAGGGGACTCAAGGCTCGAACGATGGTTAGCTGAGCTAGCTAGCTGTCGAATTTTCGTTGACCCGGATAAACATTCGCAGATTCCTGGCCCTTTGCAATCTGGAAGTGTTGAGATCTCTTGGTAGCATGTGGCGATTCCGGTTCATCATATATCTAAAACAGGCCTCCTCGTTTGGTTATCCCGCTTGATCATAAATCTCAAACACGCCCCGTCAGTTGGCGATTCGGGCTCATCA